AATATATACATTATGTAAAGTGGGTGTTTTGAGTCAGGATATAGTTGCAAGGAATAAGATGAGTACTTACATTGGTTTATTCATTCCGCACAATACTGATTGCACACTATACATGGATATCTCACCAACGTTCTAGGCATAGCAAGCTTCCCATATCTGGGAAGCTCCTCTCGCCATTTGAAGCATACAAGTATAAGAAGCTCAATGTAGTAGAGCTTTATAAACAATTCATTTTGATTAAATTACATGTTCGTGCATGTGTATGAAGTACTTTAGAGCTCCCCCTGGCTGTGCCGAATGTGCCAAGAGAGCTCAATTACATAAGCATGGCAAGCCGGCATTCTTAAAATGGAAAGCCTTAATTAAATCTGCACATGAGGCAGAATATATCTTGACAACTTACAAAATGTGTGCAGGGCTAAAGAAAATGTTGGCAGAGTGAATAATATTTCGCAATGTTTGAGCAGGCTACCAAAGTGTTTGAGTGGGCTACAAAGTGTTTGAGCAGACTACAAAAGTGTTTGAGCAGGCCAGAAAAATGTTGGCGGGTTAATGGAAATATATTAGAGGTACAAGAAAGAATTCTGAGCTACAATATCTCAAATTTAATATGTAGGCAGATTTTTTACCCACTTGGACAAGCATAAGGGGGTGGCAGAATGTGGATTTTAGATATACAGTCACATTACGAATTAAGGCGCCCTCAGCCTACCCCCCACCCCCACCCCTTACCCCCCAAAAAAGGAAATTTCCAAGTTCCTATGTCGAAAACATACTCAAGTAAGCAAGAAGTAAGTACTAAAACTTCAATGAATGGCTACTAACCTTCACATATTTGTGGGCAAATTGCAATGTATCCTATACACTGTACATTTCATTCAGCCATGTACAGAACACCGCCACACAAAGCGAACTCACCAGTCTCGTACTTAACGCTCAACGACAATTTCTGAATATCGTTCCCGAAGACGTTGCATGGCTTTCCTGCCAGAATGAGGGTTGTGGTGAACTTGGTCCTGCTGGCAGATACGTCGGTGGCCTTGTATCCAGAACACACATCCAGTACATTGGGATCAACAAAAGTTGCATCAAACTGAGATGATGTGTGGGAGGAGCATTGCCCTGACATAGAGCCCAGCTTGCTGTCGCTCGTAAACCCCGACACTTGTCTGCAATAAAGTATTGGATTAGTATATATGTAAAATAGGGACTTACTTCTACTTTGCCATACTTTTTGCAAATCTAACTGGTGTTATAAAAAAGTTCGTTGACTTTTTTTGGGCTCACAGTCAAAATTTCAGACAGTAAATATGTAAATTAGGTGTTTGCTGTGCATCTGAATTTCCCAACTTCTTTTGGAGTGTGATTTGGCTTACAGCTGATTGCGAAACGTTAGAGCAGCTTGGTTCCCATTCCAGCTCAACTGTGTGTTTGTTTGCAGTGGACACCAAAGCCAAATAAATCAGATTGATAGGGCTTTTCAGAACATTTGATGTGACATGGTAGCAAGCATGGTTATGCAATGTGTCTTCAGTGACCATTCCGCGCCATTATTATTTGAGGAGAGGGGGAGGTGAGGGCATGTAGATAAGACTGGGAAAAGTTGAAGCAAAGCAGGTGCTGCTTTGGAAGGTGCTCATGTCCAGCCATCAACAAACAAACAGATGGTTGAGCTGGAACAGGAAGCAAGCTGCTCTAACGTTTCGCAATCAGCTGTATTGACAAGACTTTTCCAAGGTAGGTCACAAAAAAATTGACCCCCTAGCAGAGCCCCCCCCCTCTAACCCTATATCCGGTATCCACGTTCCACCACCCCCTTGCATGGACCTCCTTGTACTTAAAAACCATCTCCGTCATTTCATCGGTTAATAAGTTTTCGGACTGTTTTTCATTCACAATTTCTTTGTACAGACTATGTAGATAACTTTACACTGTATATTCTTGTCATTGCTTGCACTGAATGATGTCCATATTGGTGAAGAGATTGAGTCCATAATACAGTGAAGTTACTATCAATTTACATGTCCTATAGTATGTAATAAAATTCTTTATCTGCTCGAATTATTTAGTATGTATTCTGAAATTAAACAAGTCCTTCCTCTGATAAAGGTATTATGTACTTTAAATTCAGGCATCATCCACATCTGCCATGATTTGGTCTTCATTCGCCAAGTCATCCATATCGGCTGTGCCAGACATGGACACTGACAACGGGGTGACTGAGGCTTTTTTAGTCATTGCTCTTACAGGTTCATGACAAGTGTGATTACAGAGTTGTCATATATAAAAAACAAATAGGGCAAGGATTCCTGACTTGCCTTTAATTCAATGCAGACTGTTACATACAACAAATATAGATAGAGAAGAAATTTACATGACAAGTTGTTATCATCTGCCCATTTGTTCATCCTGATCACTTGCTCATGAGGCTATGACATGATATCCATGTTCAGTTCCAGCATGCGGCAGCCTTTGGGCAGCCTCTAGAGCGAGATTGCGTGTGACCGTGTGAAGAAACGTGATGTCTCAGTGGCACATGCAGCACGTGAAGTTTTTCCCACCCATTGACCCACCACAAGACCCACTACTAACGTAGTGGGAATTTAGTCAAAGACAGCCGTTTACAGCAAGTTTACAGATGAAGCTGAAGCCTGGTTCCCTGTCTTTGTTACCAGTAATTAGATGATTTAGATCCTCGCCTTCAGTGACAACTTCAAAAAAGTCTGCTCAGTTGCACCCTCAAATCC